GTAAAACCTTTAAAATACCTTGTTTTTTACAATTTTAAAAACCTTTAAAATTTTTTTTGCGGGAAAAGTGATTCCGTATTTTTTTTGGCGTTAAATTTTCCCGCCAAAAATTTACAAGGTATTTTAAAGGTTTTTTACAGGGTATTTATAAGGTTTTACAATGTATTTTAAAAGGTTTTACAACGTATTTATAAGATATTATAAGATTTTACAAGCTATTTTATAAGGTTTTACAAGTTATAAGGTTTTACAAGTTTTTTATAAGGTTTTACAAGTTATAAAACCTTATAAGTACCTTGTAAAACCTTTTAAAATACATTGTAAAACCTTACAAAAACACTTGTAAATACTCTGTAAAACCTTTAAAATACCTTGTAAATTTTTCCCGCCAAAAAAATTTCTCCAAAAAAATTGCGGAATCACTTTTTCCGCAAAAAAAAAATTTTGGCGGGAAAATTTTTTGGCGGGAAAAATTTTTACGGGAAAATTTTACAAGGTATTTTAAAGGTTTTTACAAGTGTTTTGGCGGGAAAATTACGGGATCACTTTTCCCGCCAAAAAATATTTTGTATTTTGTGGACCTAATTTTGTTTCAAATAAGGGTAAAATGGTCATTAAAAATTAAAAGAGGGCAAACTTAAAAATGGACTTTCAAAGGGGGCATTTTTGAAAAGGGGTATTGAAAAAGGGGCATTTTTAACAATTTCTCTTTATATGAGGAATAGTTTAATTAAATCATCACATATTTCTAATTGGAAAAGAAATTGAGATAAATCATGCCACATGATAAAATATTTGACTGATAACGGTTCATGATACTATTAACTACTAACTTTGAGAAACAAAAATATATCATATTAGTTATATAATAACAAATGTTTCCTTTTTAATAAATTTGTCTGATTTGTTTCTTGTTTAATTGAAATATATATTTTTAATTATAAAAACGTATAATTTTCTTATTATTATCTTTTGACATTTTTGAAATTGTTTATAGAAATATTAATAATTTACAACTATCCTTATAATTATTTTTGCATTTTTAGAATTATTTAAGTTTATAATTACTTACAATTATCTTCTTTTTATATATATATATTTTAAAAAGGCAATTTTTGTTTTACACGTGTCAAAATCTAAGATCGATAGATTTGCCACGTGTCACGATCCTAGGAGTTACTAATTTTGAAAACCATACTTTATATAATAAGATTTGACTACTTATTGTCTTATTACCGGCTGCAGGAGGATGAAAAATAAGAACTTGCAAAGTCTATGGGAATCAAGAACTTTGTAAAGAACTACTCTCATAACAACTGTGTACTTGAGTTCTTGAACCTTGTTTATGAGCCAACCATTTGGACATATATGGTAAAGGAAGACTACGAGATTCTACCACACTTAGCGTTGAAATCACAATGAATCTTTATTTTTCTCTTAATATTAGTAGTGTAAGTTAGTATAAGATTTGGTATATTATGTAAGACTTGTTTTGGGTAACGTAATACTAATATTGTTTATGTTGATGATTTATGAAATATATATATATTTATTTCCAATTAAATAAATTCTGCAAAATAGGATTCAAATAGAAAAATTATATAAATCAAATTAAATATATTTATATAGCGAAATAAAAATGTTACGATACAATATAAAACAACACTAAACATGTGCTACAGAAAAGTATATTAAAGCATTCGGTTTGCGTTATAATAGAACGACCTATAATAGCACGCCCAACAAACGCTATCGTATGTGGGGTTTCTACCATAATAGGGGCATAACATAGCGTTTATGAAAACGCTATTGATGACATATGATAGCTCTTCTCTCTTGCTTATAATGTAGACATTTCTTGTAGTACAAATTCATTTTTCAATTATTATTAATTAAATACTAATTAAAAAGGAAAATATATTCCATTGATTGAAGTTGTGTAATAACACAAATCAACGTGGATGAAAGGAGACCTGAGAAGGAGGCCTTTCATATTTGAAGCTGCCTAGTTAAAACATGATGGATTTAAAGAATTATTGTCTAACTCCTGGAATAGCAATTTAAAAACACCAGAGGTGCTGGAGGGCCTACATGTTACGCTAAAGAAGTGGAATCGGGAGATTTTTGGGACGTGAATATGCGAAAAATGAAACTGATAGAGGAGATTAAAGTGGTCAAGTGACTACGCTAAAGAAGTGGAATCTGTTAAACGCAAACCAAACAAATGAGTTGCTTGATAAAGAGGCTGCGGGCAAGAAGAGTAATTTGGTTTCAGAAATCAAGAGAAAAATGGATAGTCTTGGGAGACCGAAATACCAAGTATTTTCATACTTCAACAATAATTCGGAGAAGAAGGAACATGATTGAAATGTTGAAGAACGATGATTATGGGTATCTAGAGAGTATGGCAACAGATTATTATAAGAAGTTGTACTCTATGGAGGACGTTGCTCAGGGGTTTCAGGGTTTTCCGCGGGTCGGGCTTGCAGGGCTTTCAAACGGTGAGTTGTCAGGGTTGTGTAAACCGTTTACGGCTTAAGCAATAGAGAAGTTGGTACGAAGTATGGGTAAATACAAAGCACCGGGCCCGGACGGGTATCAGCCTATTTTCTATCAACATAGTTGGGATGTTGTGGTTACTTCAATTGTTCGCTTTGTTCTGGATTTTGTAGAGGGGAACACTCTCTCAAGTGGAACGAATGATGCATTGTTGGTAGGCCTGGGCATTCGGATTTCGGATCGGATTCGGTTCGGATTTATTCGGATTCGGATAATCGGGTTGGAGAGTTTATTATCCGTTCGGATTTTATGAATATTCGGATCGGGTTCGGTTCGGATAGTGTCGGATTCGGATCGGTTTTAAAAAAAAAAACTAAAAAAATGTTCAATATAAATAAAAAATAATTTAATCTTACTAAAATTTGGTTAAGTTTTGCAAAAATATGTATAATTTTACCAAATATTACTAAAAATTTCCAATATCTAGGTTATTTAGAATATATTTTTTACTTGTTATAAAATTATAGCTAAATATAACTAATATTTTTGGATATAGAATTTTATTTTCGGTTTTCGGATATCTTTTCGGTTTTCGGTTCGGATCGGGTTTGGTTCGGATAATTCGGATAGGAGAATTCATTATCCGTTCGGGTTTTGTGACTATTCGGTTCGGGTTCGAAGCCGGATTTTTCGGATCGGTTTTCGGATTTTGGATTTTATGCCCAGGCCTAATTGTTGGTATTAATCGCAAAGGTGGAGAAGCCAGAGAGGATAATGCAATTTTGACCTATTAGTCTTTGTCATGTTCTTTTTAAAACTATTACAAAGACTTTGGCGATGAGGTTGCAGAAAGTGATGTCTAAGCTGATAGGCTTGCACAATCTAGTTTTATTCCTGGGAGATCGAGTACAGATAACATTATTGTGGTACAAGAGGCTGTTCATTATTGTGGTACAAGAGTACAGACCCGCTGCACATATTAATTCGAGGGAGGCACACAATAATTCCGTTAGAGTGGAGAGGATGATCAAGTAGATACTACCACGGGACATTTGGTTTAACCTTAATACTAATAGGGCTTCTCGCAGGAACCCCGGTTTAGCTACTGCTGGCGGTGTCTTGGTAATTGGTGTGGAGGTTTTGCACTAAATATCAGGATTTGCTCAGCACCCTTAGCGGAGTTATGGGGAGTTTATTATAGCTTGTATATAGCCTGGGAGAGACGGATTACACGGTTGGAGTTGGAGGTTGATTCGGAGATGGTGGTTGGTTTTCTTAAGACAGGGATTAGCGATGCTCATCTATTGTCCTTCCTAGTACGTTTGTGATATGTCTTCTTATCACGGGACTGGATTGTCTGCATTTCACATCTGTATAGGAAGGCTAATCGTCTAGCTGACGGATTAGCGAACTATGCATTCTCATTACTTTTGGGGTTTCATAAGTTGGAGGCAAGCCGGGAGGTGGTGAATGTGATTCTTTTGGAGGATGCTCAAGGGACTGTGCGGCCTAGATTTGTGCGAATGTAGTTTTAATTTTTTCGTTTCTTAATTTTTGGGAGCTTTTCTCCCGTTGTTTTACCAAAAAAAAAAAATCAAATCAACGTGAAGAACTGTTGATTCAATTTCCATAACTCCCAAATTCTCACTTTATTTCTCATGTTCAATGCTTGGTTTTATCAACAAGGCTGGATATTCTCCCCTTAAATGCCAGGGATGTGAACTATTATGCTGTAAAATCATGGTTATTGTCTCTTATTCTAATCATCGATTGAAGGATCGAAATCCGATCGAAATCCCTCTCTTCTCTCTTCTTCTCATGTTTTTGTCTAAGAGTACAATACAAGACTAGCGTTAAATCAAATTTTGATTTTTAGTGTTGTGAATCAAAAGGAGAAACAATTTTATCATAGGACTCTAATCGTCATCAAACCGTCACATTACAGGGTGATTTTTGAGTTAAGGAGAGAGATCATCAAAGTTCTCGACTCTATTTACCACAATCAATCTTCGTTCTTCAATCATCTTTTCGATATTGTTATATTTCATTACTTATTCTATGTTAATTATTTTGCAAATATTAGATTGTGTTCATGTGCCCATATTCAGGTGCTATAAATATAAAGTACTACGACATGTAATATATATTTATTATATTTATGCTATATGCACAAATATGTATAAAAACACTATCTGAAGTATCCAAGTCGTGAAATTCTATTTTAATGAAATAACTCTATAAAATAATGTCATGTGAATTATTTTTATTATTTTAAAAATAAAGTCAACTTAAATAATATTTTAAACATTTGATGTTTGTTACAAAATCAAATATAAATGAAAGAAATATAAGTTCATTTGCATAAAAGAGAAAATCAAATAGAAAATTAGTGATGTATGTCAGAAAACAAAATTGAATATGAAAAATTGTAATGTCTAGATTTCATTACATGATATTAAATTGTGCTTTATAAATTTCTTGTTAGTCTTTAATACAATTTAAATAACTATTATTTGGAGACTCAGTCTATGTTTAAAAAAATTTGTGTAAAATAAAGTTGTATAATTTATACACATAAGATTTTACAAGGTATCTATAAGATATTTGTAAAATATTTGTAAGATATATATTATACTATTACAAATTCACTAACATCAACAAATTTCTCATTTACTAAAAACATGAGATAAAAAAAGGATTTTGGACAGAACTTGTTCACAAAGTCAGATGACAAACCTACGCTCAAGTTGAAGACAGCGCGAGAACACAGGTAACTAAAAAACATAACTAGAAAATAAATAAAATCAATAAATAAAACAAAATCATCGTTAATTTTTAGGCCTTTACTCATCAATCCAGCTAGCCTTGTAACGTCTGCCACCAGAAAAAGAAACAATTTGACAGATTCATTCATTCCTACAAGAAGAAGAAGACAACAATCCATCTTCTCTTCCTCATTCGTCGTTTCGATTTTGCAGATCTCGTCTCCTTCAAGATTTATTATTCATAGAGAGGTAAGACTTTTTTAAAACAGATTTGTGATTTTTAGGGCTTTTTGCATTTGCTATTTTCCTTGTTGATGAAAATGTTGTAATTAGGGTAGATTTATCTATCTAATTTCTATTGATTCATAGTGAAAATTCTGTTAAATCATTCACATTTGGTGGATTAGGACTTGCATCTTATGTGTGTTTATGTAAAAGAACTATCTTTACCATTTCAAGCAATGTTTTGATAGCTTAAGGAGCACATTTTTAGGTACTAGATTACTTGCTTAGGCCAACTTCATCTATTGCTCTCTGTTAGGTACAACTTTTATTTAATCCCTACCTGTTTTCTCTGAGTTTTTGTTTATGTTGGGCAGATGGCAAGTTCCAAGGGGTCTCAGAATCTTAGAAATCTGGGATGCACTGGGAAGCAGGCTTTACTTCCTCCAAAAAGTCCGTTTACGGGTGGTCCGACGTTTTGTTCAGATTTTCCCCCAAGTAGTGTGATTGGATCCAAGGCTGTTCAGAAGCTTGGAGAAGGAAATGCCAATCATCATCGAACTTCATCTGAGAGTTTTCTGATTGAGGAACAGCCTTCTTGGCTTGACGACCTTCTCAACGAACCCGAGACACCTGTACGGAAAGGAGGTCATCGACGGTCATCAAGTGATTCATTTGCATATGTAGATGTCCCTGTTGGTTTTGATGTGGACTACACACTTTGGGATGGTGGTAGATATAATAACAATAGCAGTTTCTCTGCTCACGCCAGAGGTCCCAAGGAGTCTGATTACCTTAGAAGCCAGCCCGTCCCCTTCTACCCTTCAGCTCATTTGCCCAAACAGAAAATGAGAACATGGGATTCCTTATCAGATTCCGGTGCTCGCCCAAACAGTAGTTCTGGTTGTTTGGAGAGCAGCCCTATCACAAGATCAGGGTCATCTGGTAGCCTACATGATGCAGAAAAGGCTTATTGTGCTGCTGACGGCAAGAAAGATTTCATAAATAATTTCTCAAAGTCGTCTTCCGAAAAAAGGGATAATTCTCTGGCTAAGTCTGCTACCTCCGAGGCTGATACGAAACGTGCTAGACAGTACGTGGTCTATTTTGATAGTTTAGTTTGTCTTGGATTGTTTTCTGCTAAAGAAGTTTATATGATTCATTTGATGGTAGGTTATTAGTAGCATATTATTAGGCTGGCTGATTAAGTGAACTCTTGCACCCTGTGTTTTCATATCTTCTCTATACTTTTGCGTTAAACATCAGGCTGACATGCATATAGGAATAAGGAACACCCTGAGGTCAGTTGTAACTTTACACTGTTTAATCAAACCAGATGATTTTCTTTTGCAGGCAGTTTGCCCAACGCTCTCGAGTCCGTAAAATTCAGTACATAGCTGAACTGGAAAGGAACGTTCAGATGTTACAAGTAGAAGGTTCTGAAGTGTCGGCGGACCTTGAGTTTCTCAATCAACAGAATCTAATTCTCAGCTTGGAGAACAAATCTCTTAAGAATCGGTTGGAAAGCTTAGCACAAGAGCAGCTTATAAAGTACTGTAAGTTTTTCAGGCTCTTACCAGAACCCCAAAACCTTTCCCTCATAATTTCGTATCACTTTGAAGATAAGATGTCTACTTCTATGATATCAGTTCTTGGATAAAATAATAATACTATCACATCATAACCAAAATACTTAATTCAAGCTTCTAAGCATGGAGTAGATCAATGATGCCTTCTAGTTTCCCTGAGTATGTAAATTGTATATAGTGAGATGTTATCTTAATCTTGGGTTTCTTTTTTCAGTGGAACATGATGTATTGGAGAAAGAGATTGTGAGGCTACGGGCTTTATACCAGCTACAACAGCAACATGAGCCGCAGCAGCAACAGCAGACCAAAAAGCAAGGATCATCTAGCCACCAGCGTTCGAAGAGTAGAGATTTAGAGTCGCAATTCACGAATCTGTCCTTGAGGCCCTAATGGTTCAATGGTCCTGCCGGAAATATTTTTATGCTTATGGCTTGAGCTTGAGCTGTCTTCATGGTTCCAGGCCAGCTTCTTGTGTGTCTTTCCCTATCGCATTAGTAGCTGCTCTGTTTGTGCTTATGCTTCTTAGTTTATTTTATCTTTGTTGACCCGGTTTGACATCTCGATGAGCAAGTGCCAGCGATTGATGGAAAAAAACGGCATTAATGAAACAACGGGTTCGCTGGAGGCGGTTTGGTCTGTCTCTGCGCACATCAGGTATTTATGATAAGATATTATTATTAACTCATTTGTTCATGTCTGCTCAATAGACTGCAATCCTTATCACGAAACTGGCTTCATTCTAGGGCTCTCAAATCTTGGGTTGTGAATCGCTTGTATTGTGTCTGAAGAGAATGTTTCCAGTAAAACGTGTAGTGATGTAAGCTCTGTATCAACTGTCGTTTGTTTTGCTCATCTGTTTGTGTAACCAAACTCACATCATTTATCAGAAATTTGAACATCTTAAGGAATTTTACTGGTTCTGATGTTACGGTAGCCAATTAATATTCAAAACTACTAATAAAAGTTGACCGTTCTACCAACCCATAAAATATATAAAGCAAGCAACAAAAAACATCTCTTGGTATGTCAAGAAAACTAAACAAAAACCGAGTAATATGGATGCGGCCAAGTCATTCCTGTCTGCGCCTTTTGACGTTGTCCTGGGAGAATGATTCCCATCTGCTATGGTGTAGAGAACTCAAATCATGTAGCTCTGCTATTGTCAGAAGGTACTGAGTCAGCTTCACAAGCTCTTGATCCGTATCACGATTTGCATGAGCTTTCCTAAACGGCCTGATTGTTAGACCGTTTTGAGGATTCATTACGAAATTCCTCCTTAGGTCATCAAACATTATCGTGTTCCCAGGATTATAAAACTGCAAAAGTCAGAATAACACCTATGAGTTACAAAATTTATGCGCAAAGTGAGGATTGTATGGTATATGAATACCTCAGGAAGTAGTGCCCAAATTAAGCCTAGCGGTTTGCAATCAAAAATCCCACGAGTGTCTGACTGGACCGTGATCATTGCAAGATGGTCGAGAAGAGCTGTGATCTTGTAGTTAGGATTGTTCAGCACTCCCAGCTCAGTCATCTTCAACTCAACCCACTTCATACTGCAGGAGCCAAAATGGATAACTCCAGCATCAGAAAAGCTAGGAATATGACCAAAATGTATCGGAATAAACGCAACAAAAACTACAATTGAAATCACCTGGTAGCAGACCATATCATGATATCGTATTCCGCATACGCAGCAGTAAGAAACTCATGAAGATCTGCATTAAGTAATCAAAACATCCATCAGACAAAGAAGCTAAAACTAACTAGCTAAAGCATAAAACAGTTATAGTATACGGCTTACAAGGACGCATAAGCTGTAAGGGATTCTCCGCGGTGGAACGGTGATCGAACAATGTATAGTCAATATCTAAAACAAGAAGTTTCTTGCCTTTACGACATGGCGATCGAAGATTTATCTACAAAATGATGGCACATTGTCGCATAAGCTTGAATCATTTACACATAGATACCAAAAAAAACACTAACCTTGTATTGATCAATTCTTCTTCTCAACTTCTGTTTATTGACTTCTTTATCTTTAATATCCACAGCTTCTTCCTTACCAAGCTCAAAATCATCAACAATTTCAGGAGATTCAGCTTGATCCACTATTATATCATCTTCAATAGTACTAAAATATCCAAAAATTGATTTCAATTAGACCAATTGCGTTAGGGTTTAAGAAATTGGAGAAAATTGAGACTAACCCGATCATTGTCATCTTCAGCGATGACTTAAAGGGGATCGAAGAGAGTAAAAGAGAATCGTCAGAGAGTTTGTTTCCGATCTTGGGGTAAAGAAGCTTTTGGCGTTTAGGTAAGACGGTGGTGAGAAGGCAGATGCGACGTTTTAACTCGGCCACTGAGTCGTCGGCACAGATTCGGACGGTGTACTCTTTTCCATTCCATTTAACTGTCAGAGTTAGTTCCTCCTCCGTAAGAGGAGAGAGCGCCGCCGTAGCACTAGGCGTCGGAGAAGAGGAAGAGGAAGCCATTTAGTTTGTTCTGACTTTTGGATGCTTGATTGGTGTAGAAAAGGTAATTGTGGTACTAATATTTTTTTTTTATCTGAAACTTATAGGAAACTTATATTTTTCAATATATTTTAATTTTATAATTAATAAAACTAAACAAAAAAATATAAAATATATTTATATAGAAAAAAAATCATTGTAATATACTATATGGAACTGAATTTATTTTGACATAAAATTATAATAACATACAGATTTGAAAGTGCTTCCATTATCAAATCTCGTTTTCTTCCAATTCTCCAAAATTAGTTCTAGATCTTAAATCTATCAATTTCACCAACCGAAGTTCTAGACTCTATTAATTTCATATGTTTAAGTTATGAGTTATAGCAATATCATCAATATAAACTTTGGGTTCTATTAATTTCTTCAAGAGAAATTAGTGAAAATTATCATTATTACCGCGACTATTTTAATACTTTTCCATAAATGTCATCTTGCATTTATTCTTTTCAAGTATACCATAGACACCAACTAAAATTACGAAACTAACTCTAGCTAAACCTCTCACTTTTTCATGATTTAAAGTCAAATGACATGACATCCTTCCATCTATGCAATATACAACAGACTCACTTTCTCTATTCATTTTAAGTTAAAGTAAAATGAGAAAACATAATTTCTAAAGATAGAGCCCCTTCATTCTCTTCCCTAGCATCTAATTAGGGTTCATCATCCAAACTTTTTTTCCCAATCAAAAAACAAACCGTTTTTTTTTTACCAACTGAAGTAGTCGCTAAGTAGTCTCGACTAAGGAGTTTGCGACCATTTTGTGAATTTTATGGGAGTCACAAATAGCTTTTTTTTTTTCTTGTAGTGGGTCCTAGTCGACTAGTTAATCGACCAACTAGTCGATTGCTTTCATCCTCCACTTGATTTTTTGCTTCTACATTTCTTTAAACTCCATTTTACTTCATTTTCTAAGATTTAGTCAGATTTTGGGTACGGTTCTTCAAATTGGTTACCGTCTAAATCATGTGTGGGTCTTTGCTTGTTTAGTGTACTGAAGAAAAATTCTAAAAAGTCAAGAGGATATATAGTAAGAAGCTATATCGATCATGAGTTCAAGAAATTAATAAATGATTAAGGTCGTATGTCTTAGTAATACAAGTAATCTTTCAAACTGTCCCAAAAACAAATAACTAGAAGTAGCGATTCAAGAAAAACATATAAGCATTACATATCCAAAATATCCAATGTAGAAATGACAATCGAGAGATCTAAACCATATTGTAGCATGCTTTCAAAAAGATGAATCGCGCACCGTGGGGCTCGAGAACCCACGACCACAATTTTTCTTGTTCTTGTTCGTCTCTTTTCGTGGAAGAAAAAATAAAACGCCCAGTTATCATAGTACCAGCATAATCCTGGAAAAAAAATTACAGTAAATAAATTTGAAAAATTTAAGCCTTGCTTTAATGTAGTATTTAAATCATGAGGTTTTGAACAAACCGTTTATCACATGTCGATCTATTATGTCCTTCTTCACCACAGCGGCTACACTCGTGTCTATTACAATCAGGCCAGGCTTACATAGGTGGGGCGGAGGTGCGACCGCCGCCGGCCCAACAAATAAAAAGCCCAAAAAATATTTTACTTTTAAATTCTTTTATGTTAGACAATTAATTTAGGATTAATTTTTTTTTTTTGGGCAAAAAGGATTAATTAAGGAGATGAAAAGGGAGTTTTTGCTTTACTCATCTCTCTCCTCTAACCCTAACGGTCACACGAAATCTTGAATCTGTGTTTTGTTGCTTTCTCAATAAACTCTAACTTCAAAAAGAGAAACAGAATCGAAGCTCAATCATCTTGTGGTTGCAACTGTAACCAGGCCCGACTTACATAGGTGGGGCGGAGGTGCGACCGCCGCCGGCCCAACAAATAAAAGACCCAAAAAAAATTTACTTTTAAAGCCTTTTATGTTATACAATTAATTTAGGATTATTTTTTTTTATTTTTTGGGGCAAAAAGGATTAATTATGGAGATGAACGAGGACTTTTTACTTTACTCATCTCTCTCCTCTAACCCTAACGGTCACACGAAATCTTGAATCTGTGTTTTTGAGCTTTCTCAATAAACTCTAACTTCAAGAAATGAACTAGAATCGAAGCTTAATCATCTTGTGGCTGCAACTGTAATAAACTTGTTTCTAATTGTAACTTTGTAAGTTTTGAATGATTTACAATTTTATAATTTAGAATTTCAGATTCTCTATTTTATTTTGTATTAGCTAGTGGGTATCTTCGATTTATAAAACTTCAGTTCGAAATTGATATAAAAAACCTTGTGTATAATAGATAATTTTTTGTCCTTGTTTGATTTTGGTTTAAATCAAGCAAAAAGAACACACGTTAACTAGATCTAAATTTTGTCTTTCTTCGAATACTTAGCATATATTTTAATTTATTTTTTAATTTTTTTTATGAATTGTTTATTGTTCTAGGTGCTTCCACTTGGTTTTTGGCGACATCAATTCTTGTTAATTGTAACTGCTACCGCTCACTACCTCGTCTTTGTCAATCGAGGTGCTATCTTTTATTAAAATTGACTTTTGATCATGGTTTTGCGTGGAAATGACAAAATAAAGAAAGAAAAATAGATGAATTGTTTATTCAATCCCAAAGAGGGGCTATGGAAAATTTGTTATAAAAAAACTAGGTGATAATGCAGTGAGTAAGAAAATTTTTCCTTGGGTATCGATAATGATCCTAATAGATTGAGTGAGCATGATAATGTATCAAATGCATCTTTACTTGAAAGTTTGAATGGTCATAAACAACAAAGATTTCATTTTGATACTTTTGATTCTAGATATTGAGAAAATCTTGATAATAAAACTAGAGATAAGTTAGTTGCGTGTGGGGCTAAAAGAGAATTAAATTTTACTTTTCCTCTTGATAAGTATTATAGACATTTCTCATATCAATATTATTCTAGAAAATTGAGTAATGGAGAAACTTGTGATAGAAAGTGGTTAGTTTATTCGAAACATGTGAATAAAGTTAATTGTTTTTGTTGCAAGTTGTTTAAATCTCGTGGGAACTTAAGTGTGCTAGCAAATGATGGATTAAATGATTGAAAGCA